AATAAATTTTTTTAATAAATATTATAAATTTATAAAATAATTAATTATTAAATTTTAATATTAAAATATAAAAAATATTTTTTTTTTTTTTTTTTACATTACAATTAATAAAAAAAATAAAAAAAAGTAGTATTTATATTTAAATTACAAATAAATTTAAAAATTTAATCAATTAAAAATACAAACTTAATTACATTTTATATTATTATTTTTTATTATTTTATCTTTATTAATAACAATATAATAATTATATTTAATAATTATATATTTATAACATTTTAAAAATATATATATATAATATATTTTATTAATTTGTTATAATTAATATAAAATTAAAATTAATTATTAATTTTATAATTTTTTTTATTAGAAAAAATTATTAATAATTAAAAAAAATAGTAAAAATCTATTATTTAAACTATACTTTATTATTACTGCTTTTATTTTTTAATATAATTAATCCAAATAGTTTATAATATATTTTATTATATTACATTTATTATTTATTTTATAAAAATATATAAAATTTAATAAAAAAACGCAAACCTAACTTTATTAATTTATATTTTACTAAATTTTCCAAAATAAATAATCTTTAATTAAAAATCGTAAATAATATTATACTGTTAAAACGTTATTATTTTTATATATTTAAATATAAATAAAATTAATTTCCGATTTTTTTTCTATTATTTTTATTATTAACTATTAATAAATTTTTTATATTTAATTATTTTTAAATTTATTAATTAAATATTTCTTATTTTTAATAAACTATTAAAATTATAAACTTTTTTAAAAAATTAATAAATTCCTTTTACTAATATTAACGTTTTTATTATATTTAATTTGCGTAAAAAACTTTATTATATTATTAAAATATGTAATTTTATTTAAAATATATATATTATACTTAAATTTGCTAATAATTAATTGCAAATAAATAATATACGCACTTATTTTAGCTATAAATAAATATAGGATATAAAAGTTTATTTATTAAATAAAATATAATTTTATAATAATTTTCATTTTTACCACAACCAAAATAAAATTATTTTATTTTTAAAAATTAATTTAAAATAAAAAAATCAATATTATTTAATTATATATATTTTTAACCTTTTTAAAAAAATTAATAATAATGGTATAAAAGCTATTACCTTATATTAAAACTAACGTTATTTATTATTTTTTTATACTTTTATAAAATTTTTTTTTACTTGATTTATTTAGGTTATATTTACCAATAACGTTATTATAATATTTATTAATACCGTTACTAAATATACTAATAACAAAACGGAATATACTATTTATAAACCTATCATACTTAATAATAAAATAAAAAAATATAAAAAAAAAATATTTATTTAAATTAACTTTACTTAATTATTTATTAAAATAACTGGTGTTTATTAATCTTTTACCGGATAAAAACGGGGCCATAATTAAATAAAGCAAAATAACGTTAACGGTTATTTTAAAATGGTTTATTCGTTACGTATTAAACGAATGGAATAAAATATAAATAATTACCCCACTTATAAATATAATAAGTTAATTTATTTACTACGCATAAAATAGCTAAAATAAAAATATAATAATAATTATAACAATAATAATTTTAACTTTATTTATAATATTAATAATTATTTATCGGATAATAATAATTTTTTTAAAAAAAATAAATAACCTATTAAAAAATTTTAATTATATTTTAATTATAAAAATCATAACCATTTAAATGTTAAAATAAAATTTACGCCTTTAAAATATATTATATCCGAATTAATTGGATTTATAATAAACTTAATTAATAATATTAATTAAAATTTTAACCATAATATTAACCATAATAATTTTAATTATATTTTGCTAAAACTTAACGTATTTAATAACGTATTAAATAACGTACCTGTAAAAATATCTCGTAATTTTTATACACGTTTAATAAATAATCATTTATAATTAAAACTTTTATTAATTATAATAAAAGTTTAAATAAAATATACAAGCAATAATAAAAATTTAAATAAAACGTATAAACGATAATAAAAAGTTAAATATTTAAATATATAAATAATAATAAAAAAATAAATTCAAAATATTAAATATTTATAAAATATATTATTTATTTAAATCTTTAAATAATTATAATATATATTATTATTATTTAATTTTTAAAATTTTAAAATACGTTATTTAAATATAAATAATTATTAATATAAACATTATATTTAATATTTATACTTTTTTATATAAATTAAACAGGTAAATATTTTTTAATTAATAATAATTATTTATTAAAAAATGATTTTTGGATATAAAATAATTTTTACGTTTAATAACCGTTTCTCAAAACTATCCTTTGCCGTTATGGTACCTATATATATATTTATAGGTCATTAAACTATAAAAGGTAATTAAACTTCTTCACATAATAAATCAAGCATTAAGCACCTAACATAAACAGATCACTTACTTCGTCTTCCCGGTCGCAACCATGGCCTCCCTTCCATTATGACCTCGTTTGTCAAGAGGCATGCTTCAGCAACAGATGATTTCCGACACAAGCTCTATTTCTTCTGCTATGCTTCAAGAAATAGCTAACTCAGGCTCCCTGGACGAGATCTCCAATGCGCCTGGCTCAGTCCGCAGGAACATCTGCCGTCATAGTAATCTGACTTAGATAACGATACCCTACGCAGATCAATGCTATTTCTCATCTATCAGACCACGCGCCATGGTCCCCAGAACGGATTTCGACTCTGCATGGTACATCAAGGATACTATATTGGCCCGGACAACCAATCTTATATCGATGAAGATGATGTAGACCTCCTAGAGAAGCCTATTCCATGTGGCCATAAAGAACTAGCCATCCTAGGAGTGCCGTTCTGTGTTTCTTCTGATGAGTCGAGCGAGAACTCTGAGGTTGACTTAACATATCCTCCGACATACGATACGAAGAACGATCCCGACACTATCTCCGTCCCTGTAAACCTAGCAAAGTATGGTAATGACTAGCACAAATAGTTGGGATGCTTAAAGCGGGATTGAATAATGTAGGCCCCTTAGGTCAACATTCTCTCGCGTAGGTAAATTTCTTCCTCTGCTCTTACTGTATAATATGTGGTAACTAGGTCTGGATTTTGAATTATTATTAATTATGGGTAGCCATCGTCATACAAGTAGAGCCGCACAAGTCTAACATTGAACAAGTGTGGTGTTACAAAGCCTGGCTATAGGGTATTCTATTACGTAATTCTAGCCTCACGGATCATATAAAGGTCCTAGGATCATCTTATTTCTCTGATCTGAGACACACACACACCTTCATTCTAGATCATCCTTCAGTTAGCAGTTATTTAGCCTTTAGTTTATATTGATTCTATTTTATTGCCTTTTGTTCCTCGTTCATTGATCAGTTGAATTCGTATCTACAAGTCAGAGTATAGTGCCATCATCAGCGGCTTAGAGCCTCTTACGAGGATCAGGTTGTTGAAGTGATAGGCCATACTCTGCAGGAGTCTCTACCTCCTGTTCAACATCATAATAGGAAATCTACGTTATGGGCGGTATGAAGATGCTACTGTACGGGTGCAAGAAGGCATGGAAACAGCTTTGTCGTTCCGCAAGGAATTCTAAAAGCCCAACAAGTTGCTGGGTCGAGGATCAACCGCTCAGTGTACGATGTTACTATGTAAGAATTATTCCAATTTATGTAATGCTTTCTCCCTACCTAACCTAGTATCACTCTTACCGCCTAGGTCTTCTGCGCTAAGGCATGCCCCCTTTCATACCCCCATCATATATAATCCCCTGATTGATGTCAAAATTGACCTTATCATGAGTTGTACGTATAGTCGTTTCTGGTCAATGTGAAACGTGTCCTGAAAGCCTCAATCTTAAGAGGAGGTCACAGCTGCTACCGTAGCGGCTGTCATAGTAGTACGACTAGCATTCTTCTCTAACAAGTATAGGAATAGGCGTGTCTCTATCCCTTTTAACAATTTCCAAGACAAAGGCTTCGTGAATTGTGAAATATTTAGCAACTACAGCTTCAACGCCATATAATGTTGATATCAATTAATAGATAAATACATGTATATGCTCGGGTTTTGAAAACTCCAAGTACTGTGGCTTAGATGAGAAACCCCACCCAGCTTAAAAGCCGCGTCTACTTTGATGCATGATAACTATCGGCTTTTAAGAACCGAAAAACCTTGACCCTTGCAGCTCAGGGTTAAAATGTTCTGGGGTTTAGATGGACCTTTTTTTCTTCTTCTCCCCTACTGACCTGGTTCATTGTGAAATGCCCGTACTACATATTCAATAAAGCCTCATAGGTGGGGTGTAACGTAGTTTTTCAACTTCGCGATGCGCTGGCAGTTGTTAAGCCTTGGCCATTACCTAGACCTTGTAGCGTGTATCTCATCTTAGTGGTTACCCAGTATAATTATCCATGGGAATTCTCAGCCCCGGTGCGGTGCCTAATGACATGTCACAAGGACGATAGTTCGTTGGTAGAAGTCTCTCATTAGTAGGGCGTCGATACTCTGTATATTTGACGACGATACTACCTACATACACATTCTCGGAGCACGGGCCGAGCCTCAATTGCTCCCTGCATTACTGCCTACAGAATTCTTAGCTCATTCCCAATCTGTCGAACTTCATAACAGGCATCTATAGCGGTAGCCAATCGGACTAAGACAGCGCGTATTTAAACTGGTTCCTTTACCATCCTTCTATGTTTACACTAATCTCAATTTCACCGAGTCGTCCCACTTCGTCATGCCTTTCCTTCAGCTTCGAGCTATTCTTTTGGTCTAGACTCGCATCCGCCTACTGAAAAGACTTGTGAGGCTGATCGCCTCGCATCCTACCGTACAGGGCATACTTTCAGGGGCAATGGGAAATAAATATCTACTGTTGCCCTTCATGTTGTCAGGCTCTCATCAGCTTTCTAAGCGCGCATCCATTCACAGAATCAGTCCTTCGCCTTAAGTTTATAGCCTTTCCCAAGATGTTTGCCGAACTCGCTCTCGCTTCTCTCCTCGCCGCCGCTCCGTTGGCTCAGGCAGCTCAGAACGTAACTGTCAAGGCGCTACCGTCTGAAGATTGCTCATCTTATCCGGGTTACGATGCCGCAGCTAACACGGCCGGGCCCTGGCTCGTTCAAGTAGTCGATAGCGACAATACCGCTATCGAGGGATTCGGTGACACATCTGCGTACTCGATCTCCTTCAACCCTGATGTTGATCAAAAGCCAACTCTGCGATGGGGTTACGTGAGTAGCTTAATTCTAAATCTTGATCTACGAAGATTCTAATCGGGAGGCACAGATCACATTCCCAACGAACAATCAAATCGCCAAGACCGCCCTGAAGTGTGACGGGGGTGTCCTCAAAGCTTGGGTATCTACCGATCTGACAGACGCTGGGGCCCCCACAAATACCCAATGGTCGGAATTGTTATTCCCCAAGGACGAGCCGTACGACGCTCCCTTGCTATGGAAATTTACCGACGGTATCGCGCCCCAGATTTTCGAGCACTACATCGACGGCGAGAAGCAGGACGGTGTGTTCCTAGGTGCCTACAATACTAGCACTAGGTGGGGACTCAAGTACAACCCGGCAAACTCGGGATCTTCCCGCCAGGATTTCTATTACGCACGGATCTTGGGACCGAATAGTGCGGATCCCGTGACCGGTGATGCCTTGCATGCAAATGAGACCACGGCTTTCGTCAAGATCTTGGCATAGATACATGCGTATCTCTAGACACTTTGAGTGGATTGGGATCGACTGAGATATAATCTAGACGATTCACGAATATCTTCCTAAGATCAGCAGTCCAGTTGATGTGGTAATTCGTATGTGAGGATATTACTTTTAGTAGTTAATATATATTCGGGATGCTGGGATGCAGAACTACTTTCGAACAAATAAACCAGCAACCCTTAGGAATATTGCAGCTCCGTTGACATTATCCATTCTCACGCTCGATGATTTACCGTCTTCGCCTCCCAGTGTCCAAATCATTTATGTTGGGAGCAAATACTTAATTCGAAGAAATGACATTTCTAAATGAGCAACTGATGGTTTCGTAGGTACCTGAAGTAAGGTGTCTGGTACTCAGTAAGTGTATCCTAGATAATTATGCCCGACTTTTAGGAGGGTTATTGTATTTGGCCAAGATGGTATTTCCTAATTAGGCAATTCGTCTGTGCACCCCACTAGCGTCTGGATCCCAGGCTTTTCATTGGCTGAGATATGGAGCTAAGGCTTTAGCTGCATGATTAGCGTTGAGCTAATTTTAGTGTGGATATTTTAAGCGGTACGTATCTTTGATAAGACTTTTGATAAAACTTTTGATAAGACTTTTGATAAGACTTTTGATAAGCCAATAAAAGGATAAGGCTTTTGATAAGAGAGATAAGAGGATTGGGGAAAAAGGTGGCCTGTGCACCAGGTTTAGGCTAAAAATTTAACCAATTATATTAAGTGCACATACAGGTCACATGTTTTTAGTGTAAAACTAAACCTTTTCGGGACAACACCACATGACTTAGGTTTATTTTACAAGAAGCCGGGTTCGAATCCCACACGTTCCTTTTTTTCTTATTTTAACAAAAAATAGACGACAATATAATGGATAGCCAGAGCATCGTGCCACCGCCGGGCCGCGCGAGGGGAGGCGCGAGGGGGGGGCGCGAGGCGCGCGTCAGCGC